TGCATGCATATATAAGTTACAAAAGTCCTTGAGAGTCCAAAAGGCTGTCAGGTCCCATGCAGTTCTTTTGATATGGTATGTAGATACACCTATACAATATTTTTGAATGAGGCCCTATCCATTGTTTTCCCAATCTGACATATCTTGTGGTTTCTCAGCATCCTTGGAGAGGAAAGTGTTTGTAAGTCACACAGTGTGTTTGAGTGTGCATGTGAGGTATTTGTGGAGGTGTTTGACTGCATCAGTGCCCTGAGTTGTTTGTTTTTCTCTCAATTAAGAATCATTGCTTAATTGTCACCCTGTCCGACAGCTTCATTAACCTACTTTCAACAGTATCAGGGAAAGTGTGCTGTGACTGTCCTGCTATACTTGTGCATGGGATCTAACAGCCTGCATTCATGTGTGTGTGAGTGTGTTTGTGCACATCTGTTTGGAGATTTACAGACAGAATAGTGCCATTGTTTTGGGTGTAATCCTTTAAAGAAGCAGCGAGAAGGCAGATAGGCAAAGCGGTGCAGACAGATGTGAACAGTTGTTTAGTGCTATTTGCAGCTGGTGTGAACCATCATTGGTGTTGTGACATTGGGTGATTACTGTTTTTGCCCTCATCCTACCTCAGCCTTGTCTACTCTGATATTACTTAGGGGCCAGGGGTCAAGTCTTGGTATATTTGACTCAATAGTCATGCTGAGTAACATCCCACACCTGGCTCAAAGCGAATCATCTAATTTCCATCCGTATGACACTCAAAATTGTCCAAATTCTTCTTTGTAGAACATCCTCACTCACAGTGGAGTTCCTGCCAGGTTGAAGGTCCTTTACAATGAGTTATGTTTCACTCTGAAAGCTCTGATAGGACTCTTGGCTGTATGTTTTTAGACGACTGATATGCACAGCCAAGGCCCAGACAAAAGAATGTGTGTTTTGGCTGCAGAACACCGTGTGAGGACAAATATCCTAACCTCCCCCTGCTGCTACTTGACCAATATCTACACATTCTCACACACTTTCACCAAGATCTTCACGATGCAATAAGTATGGAACTCCAGCACGGAAACACACACACAGAGGGAATGAGTTCCAAAACTCACAGACACATGCATGTTATCATGTTTTGCAAGGCCAGAGGCTCCCTTTCTTTGTGTGTGGAAATAGCACTTGTCAACACATCTACAATTCCTCATAGTCCAGTAACTCTTTGAAATCCCACGAGCAGTTCCTCAGTGATTGTGCCAATTGTTATCTGTCCAAAAAGTTTCTCTTTTGTTTAACCACTTGCTGACCACACTTTTGTACAAAGGTATGTAATTTTTTTTATTACAAATTTTGTAACAAAGAGTATGTAAAAATAGCCCAGTTAGAAGGTGTACCCAAGAATCTGACCAATTTGGTCTTCATTGCACATTCCTAACTGCTCATGTACACATGCACTCATTCACTGCTTCTCAAGCCATAGACAGGAGAACAACAGGTTGTAAAGTAGGCTGTGTCTAGGCATTTAAAGGCCCATTGCCCGGAATGGATATTTTTTTAAGGGCTTGAGTATCAGACTGCATGCTAGTTGAACCTTGATGCGGGTCTCCTCCCCATCTCCTCAAATCTCTTTTTGTGCAGCAACTCCTAGTTTCAATTTTTTTCATGACCCCCGAGATTCCAGACATAGTTAATTTGCCTCTAAATAAACCCAGCCAAGCCATGACAAATAGCCAAGGGGATGAAGGGTAGGGGGTGATTGGTGGGGTGTCAGGCTTGCTCGGTCGTCTGTGAGGTTGCCACAGCAACAGGGATCTGGGATTCAGAAAGAGTGTGAGTGTTTTCAGAGCAAGAGACGAGGGATTACAGGAAATATGACATGACATGACTCTCCGTACCGGACTCTTCCCCCATCCCACCCTCCAAAAGACATTCTCTCCCTAACAGACGCCCCAACCCGCCCCCCACTACACTGCCTGACATTATCATCACAATCAGACTGCTGGCCTCTGACATTTGACCTCCCGGCATGTGAAGGGTTCGTAGGGAAAAGCAGTGTGCCGCATTAGTGACTTCAGGAGATGGTATTCATGAAGAATTCTCTTATTGCTGCTCTGTTTCTTACTTGTTTTCAGGGAAAAACACGAAAAAAAACTCCCCATGGACATGTAGTCTTAACTTATGAAATTTCATGTAGCTGGATGTATTGAAAAAGAGTAATAACAGACATGATTAATTATGTTTTTGCTATATCATCCTTCGGTTTGATCCATAGGCCTCTTTCGCTTCAAATTCTCAGACTTTGACAAAAAAAAAAACATGGCCGGCAAATAAACTCTTGTGTTGTGAAGTCAACATTATTACTATTAAGCAGACATCGCTAATGAACGTGATTGAAACGAGTTAACTTTTTTCTTTTCTTCACCCTCAAGCACTGAATTTTATCCTTAACAGTTTCTGTTCAGTAGCAGAAATAAATCTCTTTAATCTAGGGATGTTCATTTTAACCGTTTAACCGGTAAGAATTTTGACCGATTAATACAATCAGTTAAACGGTTTAAAAAGTCATTTAATTATTTATTTTTTCAGTAATATATCAAAATATTTAAAAAATGTTTGCTGCATGGTTAAAATACGCTACGCGTATAAAAAAAATTGTTTTTAGGGGGAAAAAAACATAAGTCGCGTAAAAGTCTATTATTTCATTCAGAAATGTTTACAAACATTATAATAAACACTGTAAACATAGCTAGGCTATTTAAGTTCCCCTCAATCCACAACAAATCCTTTCAATTAACAGTATTTAGAAAAGAACAAGAATTAAAAATATAAGAACCTATAGCAATATAAACGACAAGCCAAAGCTAATTAATTTAGGCTAAAACGAAACTGAAACCAACGTTGGATCTCTCATTCCACACAAAATCAAATGTTTCCGTATTCGCAATGTATTTGAATGCCAAATTATTATTGATTATGTACTTCACTCGCATTCCAATATCCACACATCACGGCGGTACTGTGATAACACTTAACGGCACAGATTTGACTACATTGTTTTTTTTACTACATAGTTTTTTTTTCTATATGTTTGACTGACTGTATTTTATTATGATAATGAACAGGTTGCATTGTCAAGGTAGCAATGCTGTGTGTGCGCATGTGGCGCCGGTGCAATCACTTGAATTTTTTCCTTCTAACAGTGGAAGAAACTACTCCTTTTAGTCATAAAAATAATCGGAATTGTAAAAGGTTTGCCTTTATTTGTGTACATTCACAATAAAAACAAATCTTTGTGCTTTTGTAAAATAAGCCTAAAGAAAAATCTGTATATATATATATATATATATATACATATAGCCTAGCTTTATTATGTTTTTCTCCACTCGCAGAAGTGCTGCAGGTGCGTGATGTGATATGATGGCCATGTGAATCCTCATGTTCTGTTGTTTGCTGCTTTTTGCGCATGTAAAATTAATCCCCAGGAAACAAATGTTAGTATTTTTAACGGGTCACAGACACTTATCCTTTCTAATTTAATTCAATTCTAATTTTAAATAATCTTGTCGGGTAACGGTTAACAATCAGTTAACGAGTGTCGGTTGTCGGTTAGGAAAAATAACCGAAATGAACATCCCTACTTTAATCATAAGACTTGGGATTCTTGATGGCAGCAACTTGAGATTGCAAGCTTAAGCTTGGCTCTCTTATATCTGTTTTTTGGTTCCAGTTCCAGAATAGTATAATACTCCCATGTGAAACATTTCTGTAGGCGTGTCCTCCAAACAGCAGAACACTGTGGCGTCATCCTCTATTGTCTTGCTGGGTAGAAAAACAGTTGACACCACAGTTAAAAGTATCTCTGGCTTTGATAAAATGCTTGAATGGACCTTACAGTTCCTAAAAGGCTAACAGGCTCTCGCTGTGGTGCAGCAGAGGTCTAAAATGGCACCCCCTATAGGCCAAGCCCTTATTTGAAGCCCACTCTGAGGTCTGAGAGAAACTGCTTCAAATAAGTGTGGGGGAGGAGTCGCCAGCCACAAAAGAGGCAAAACAACAAAGGGGCAGATAGCTCAGTGTAAAAAAAGTGGTCATCCTGTAACAGAAAGAGGAGGAAAAGCCATTGTTTTCTCTGCCCAGGGGTTGTTTTACAGTGAAAAGATAGAGAGGGCCTGAGGGGGGAAACAGGGAGAACAGACCATCCCAGTGCTCGTCATCAGCTTCAAACTGTGTTTTTGATGTGGGAGTTCATCCTGTGGCGGGGCTCCCTGTGTGGGTGTAGGGTTACCCAACACACACTGGCTTCTCAAGCCTAGCTTACCAAAGGCCCCAGAACCCATGAGAGGGACTGCCTTTATTAAGAAAAAATTGTTTATTTTATCGTACCTGTTCAGTTTCAGGTCCCACTCAAATGTCCATCAAGATAACCGTCCTGCACTGAAAAGCATAGAATTAGAGCAGAAAGAACTGTATTCAACTGCCACAAAGTGGCTTGACCACCATCTCATACCTATGGTTTGTTGTCTACTGTCTTTTGAGTGGTCTCCATTGTGAAGTTAACACATTGAACATTGTATACAGTTTGCAAGGTCTCATGGGTAAACACAGGTAATTCTGTCATTCACAACCGTGCTTTACTATTGAATGCAGCGGAGAGATTGGAAAATCTGTAATAATCCTGGAATGCAAACTGGCATGGAGAGAAGCATGCTTTCCGGATTAGAATTTCAGTAGACTGTGGAAAGTGTGCTCTGCTGTTACAGTCAAGGCAAGCATATATGCAACATCTGGTTGATAGCATGAAATTGACAATTTTTCTATGTTTGTGCCTGTGTGTGTGTGTGTGTTATCACCTGCTCACTAACTTTGTATTATAATAAGATATTTAATATTTAGTGGTTAGATGTTCTGCGCATGAATTGGGTGAGATACTTGACCTGGGCTGTTGATAAAATTTTCTGATGTCCCACTAAAATGCTTCTATATTCCGGTCGGTGTTCATGTTTTAAATTTGTGCCCCTCGACAGATGCCGACCTGGTTATATTGGTTTGCTCTGTCAGCATCTGGACCCCTGTCATCGCTCGCCTTGTCTAAATGGAGCAGCTTGCAAGAGCCAGGTGGCCAACGGAATCCCACAGTTCACCTGTGTGTGTCAGAGGGGGTTCAGAGGTAAGGATGAGGGTGTCTTCATGTTGTCATGATATACAGTGTGTGGAAAATATAGGTCTGTTTGTGAATAACGCTTCATGTGTTTGCAGGTCAGGATTGTTCCCTGATTGATGCATGTGCCACAAATCCCTGTGCCAATGGTGCCCGTTGCACCAATTGGAATAATCACTACAACTGTTCATGCCCACCTGGGTATCAGGGCAAGAACTGTCGCAATGATATTGATGAATGCCGCAAACTCGGAAAGTGCCTTAACGGTGGCATCTGCATGAACACACACGGCTCATTCCGCTGTGAGTGCCTTGCTGGGTACAGCGGGCGCACATGCGAGGTGCCCACCCAGCCCTGTGCCCCCTCACAGTGTCTCAATGGGGGCACCTGCCATCAGACCAGTGACCACACCTACGAGTGTGCTTGCTTGCCAGGTACAAACAGACAAAAATCTTGCAGGTATTCATGTAGACACACACCCTTTATCATGTTCCCATACTCATTCTCATCCCTCGGATTCGGGGTTTCCCAAAGCTTCTGGACTTTCCAGGCAGTGATACCTCATGCTTTGCTATAAATAGCTCAGACTGAGTGAGAGAAGGATACACTGGAGAATGAGTGAGCAAGACAGTCAAAGCGTGGAAGAGAGAAAGCGAGTGGGCTGCTGTGGCAGGAATTTACTTTATGGCCTTTCTGCTTCCCTCTGGGGAGCAAGCAGGAAATGTCTCTTGCCAAAGAGGAAGTCATTGAAACCGTGAGAGATTATAAAACAAGCAAACATGGCAGGGAGTATGGCCCTCTGGAGCAGAGCTCTGTCAGGTGCTGGCTTTGCCGCTGTGGGAACCACCGTGAGAATATGTAAACACTCAACACCCACTGAACCTTTTTACTGCTCACTTTACTGTGTACATCAATTTATCAATAGTTTTGGAGCAGGATTGAGTGGAAGTTATTAGGTGTGCCGGGGAAGTGAGGAATAGATCAGATATTATTACTACTACAGTTACCTCCCTGTTTCCTGTGTCATATCATTTCATTTCTCCGCCTAGGCTTCAGGGGACACAACTGCGAGGAGAACGTGGATGACTGCCCTGGACACAAGTGCATGAATGGTGGGATCTGTGTAGATGGTGTCAACACGTACAATTGTCAGTGTCTGCCTGAATGGACAGGTAAATACGCACCTTTTTTTACATGTTTACTTTTAATTTTCTAATTAAAATAACTTGACATTGGTCTTTCTGTCCTTAGGCCAGTATTGTGCTGAGGATGTCAACGAGTGTCTCATGCAGCCCAATGCTTGTCACAATGGTGGCACATGCTTTAACACTATTGGAGGACACACCTGTGTATGTGTCAATGGCTGGACTGGGGACGACTGCAGTGAGAACATTGACGACTGTGCTACGGCTGTCTGCTTCAACGGGGCCACGTGTCATGACCGCGTGGCCTCCTTTTTCTGCGAGTGCCCAGTGGGCAAAACTGGTACGACTTTCTTTTGACATCACTCCTTATTTTTATGTTTTGTCCATTGTCCTCAGAGTCACATTCTGCTGTCCCTGCAGGTCTGCTCTGTCATCTGGATGATGCTTGTGTCAGTAACCCCTGCAATGAGGGGGCAGTGTGTGACACTAACCCTCTGAACGGCCGCGCCATCTGCACCTGCCCTGCTGGCTTTGTTGGTGGAGCCTGCAACCAAGACATGGATGAATGTTCCATTGGTAAATTTACTGCATTGTGAATGCCTCCCTTTCTCATTGATTCTTTCTGTCTCTTCCTATTTTTGTCTTTGTCAGTAGAGTGTAAGTATTAACTGACTCCTCTTTCTCTTTTGTGTGCCAGGTGCCAACCCTTGTGAGCATTTTGGGAAGTGTGTAAACACGGAGGGCTCATTTCAGTGCCAGTGTGGACGGGGCTACACTGGCCCTCGCTGTGAGATTGATATCAACGAGTGTCTTTCCATGCCCTGCCAGAACGACGCCACCTGCCTGGACCGCATCGGCGAGTTCACATGCATCTGTATGCCTGGTATGTCAGTGAACTTGACCTTGACTTACTCAGAAACATTAAATCTGCTTCTAATCATTGTGGACTTCTAGACTGTATGACTGTGTAGACCTACTTAAGAAAGCATGCAAAGGCCAGAGGAGGTTTCGTTATGTAATAACGTACCACATAGTGGTCATTTGAGGAGGAGTAATCAATTGAAATAGAAAAGCTCAGTCCACATGGGTAAGTCACAGAAACCACAGACCAATATTGGCTTTGTGTCTTCAGCACACGTTCGGTAAAAACTTGTATCTTGCACGACATACATCTTTGGGGTTTTTGGGGAACTATACAAATTGGTGCTGGGAGCGGGGTGTATTGGGCAATCTGGGAGAGAGGGGGAGGAGTGTGCAGTGAATTATAATGAGATCTTGAGTGGTGGGAATGGAGTGGAACAATGGGGCCCCTCTGTGCTCCGTTCCTCGCCCTTCGCACATAGAGAGAGAGCAAACTTTTTCCCAGCACTTTCATCCCCTCCCCCCACTTCTGCTCATACCCCTTTCAATTCCACAGACACCTCTTCTTCCCCACCCTCCTTATCATCGCCGACTTGGCCCTGGCTCACGTGGAGGGGCCAATTCTTTCTGATTCCATGCCGCCGTCAGTGCTCTAGCCCTGGCCCACACTCTGTTTCACCTTAATGGGGTGACACACAAGAGCAGCACTCTGCTGATTACAGAACATGTGTGTTCTCAATGGAGAGATGACCACAGGGCGTCCTGCGGACAGTAGGGTGTGGTGCTTCTAGTCAAAGCAGGGGCCCCAGTTTGCATAGATGAAGCAATTCTCCATTTCCTCAGAAACATGAACTTGCTGTAGGGTGCAGTGTAGCAGAACATCTCAGTGTGCGTCTGTGGGCCCCTGTGTTGTGAGAAACTGCAGTCTGAGATCTGTCTTCAATGCATCGAGGGTTAGAACTGTGTTTCACTCTGGCTGTCTCTCTACCAGGCTATCAGGGGAAGTTCTGTGAGGTGGATGTTGACGAATGTGAGAGCAACCCCTGCGTAAATGATGGCATCTGCCGAGACATGGTCAATGGCTTCACCTGCACCTGTCAGCCAGGTAAGAAACTTAATTTTCCCAGTATCACCAGATCAACGATATGTGTCAAAAGAATCCAAGAAGTTCACTTGTGTGGTCGCTTAATATACAATCTTGATTCGTGTAATATCAGGCTAAACCCAACTTCGCCCCATAGTTTTTGCGTAATTACTCATTAGAGTGAGGTCTTGAGCGCTATGCAACTGCGTGCCCAAACAAAGCCACCATTGTGGCCCCTCTACACAAGCACCCCTCCTCTTCCCAACTTGTCCATAGAGAAGGGACAGCAGTCTTACCCGTCTCCCTCTGCATAGAGGTGGTGGGGGGGGAACAGCAGCCCTGCTAATGAGATTCTTTTCCATGTCCGCAATTTACATCTGGGGCAGACAACCCCACACCCCCCATTTAGCTATTGAGCCGGTAGCGTTTGTGCAAGGAAAGAGGGAGGGCCGCTGGCCTTGAAGAAAACAATTCTAGCATCTCCCCCTCTAACCTTCTGCCCTAGGCATCAGCATAGATCCCATCATAACACTGTTAATCAACACAACACCCTAACAACCTAAAGATGCAGAAATTAACATTTCTGTGGGGCCCCAGCTTTTTTTATGTACTTACTAGCACGTTTTCCCAGACAAGGGATATCAGTCAGTGTTTAAGGCCCACTGCCCCCTCAGTGCCTACATAACTGCTCATTTTCCAGATAATGTCATTTTAATCGCTGCAAAAATGTGAAGAAACTTGATTAATGTCTGCCAATATACATATAATAGGCCAGTTAATATTTTGACATAGTTCTCAAAAATTATCCACACGCACAGATCATATCTAGAATATTATTGATAAAAACATTTTCAAACCTAGTACAGGCTAGATTGTGATTGTTGGATGGATTCAGAGAATGAAAAACCTGGGCATATTCTAAAACTCCAAATCAGATGTTTTAAATTCTGTTGATCAACAGTCTGGAAGAGAATCAATCAATCAGTGTATGTTAATAATGATATACACCACTAAGATCATAAATTCAAATGGAGATTCAGCAAACATTCTTTGAAATCTCAATTTCGCTTTAGCTCCAAATAAGCCAAGGTGCAGACATCTCCAACTAGACCGAGCTCTACTGCCCCCAAAGCTGAACCTAATGACCCCACCAGTGTGTGGAGCTCACCTCTGCTGCCTCAGACTGACCTCTAACCCCTATGTTTGCCTGTCCCAGGGTTTACTGGCACCATGTGTCAGATCGACATTGATGAGTGCGCCAGCACTCCCTGCCAAAATGGAGCCAAGTGCATTGACCGTCCCAATGGGTACGAATGCCGCTGCGCTGAAGGTAAGCTGCTAAATGAAGATGTTTGTCTGATTGTGTGTGCCTGCTGTGCAAGAGCTTTGTGGAGCCCTTCAGGGTTCAAAGTCAAAATCATCATCACTGACTAGATCCATACACCTGAATGTAGTGATCTCAGGGTCAAATGCTTCTTGTTTCTATGATCATACTGCTGGGCAGGCTGACGAGAAGCCCCAAATCCCCCTCCTTTGCCCTGCAGACCCCAATGTCACAGGGTCACCAAGGCCGGCAGCTGCTGACGAGGGGGGTTATGCTCGGTCATCACCCTGACATCTGTTCATCTGTAACCCACAATGCATACCCATACAGCACCGTATGGCACAACCAAAGCTCCCAACATTCATTTTCACATAGTTGTGCCTGTAGGAATGGCCTGTAGGGTTTCTGGTTTTCATTTATACAACAAATTAGCATGAACTTGAATGTGATTGTTTTGGGCTGAAGATACAGTACATACTGCATGTGTCGCTAGGCTTTTAGAAAGCACAGACATGGAGTTTGTGTATTGTCTGAAGCAGCCTGCTGTTTGGTATTCTCCGTGCTCCAATTCCCCTCTGCTGAGCTGTCCCGTTAGCTGGGACGTAGGGTATTGTCCTGCTGCTCGAGGGGACAAAAGCAGGTCTGTGAGGCCTGTGAAGGGCTCTCTCTCTTTCTCTCTCACCACCACAGCCCAGCCCTGCCCTGCTCCTCTCAAGGCCGCTGCCTTGACAGCCTGTCGGCATGGAAACCACGGGAACAGAGACTCCAAACTGTAGAACCTTTCACAAGAGAGAGAAAGAAGGAAACGGAGGTATCAGACAGAAAAGAGAAAAAAAAACGAATTGAGACTAGGGAAAGAGGAGAGACATTTTCAGACCAAAAAAGCAAGGGTGGGCAGTCAAAGGGGTGCTGGTAAAGAAGGATAAAGGGTACAAGCGAAACCAAGGAAGTATTTACACCCCAGACAAAAACACAAATAAAGGGCATTGAATCACTCATGCAGACTTTGTGAGCTACGGTGGTCATGAGCAGACAGTAAGAATATGGAAATAGTAGGAATGAGGACAATGCAGTTTCGTCTCACCTAGCTTGTGCAATAATGGTCCGCAGAAGGGAAATTGTTCCTGATAGGCAAGAACCACAAACACAGGAACCTGTAGAGCAGCAGAGACTTTATGCAAATCTGATACCTCTCCATTCTTACCACCTTGCTCAGCCCTAACAGAAAAGTACCATTCTCTGCTCATTCACCCCTACACATCTCCTCTTTGTCTTCAGGTTTTGAGGGAAGGCTGTGCGAGAGCAACATCGATAACTGCAAGCCTGACCCGTGCCACCATGGCACTTGCATAGATGGCATTGCCAGTTACACTTGTAACTGTGAGCTTGGCTACACTGGCTACCGCTGCGAGAACCAGCTCAACGAGTGCCACAGCAACCCCTGCCAGAATGGTGGCAAATGTGTGGACCTAGTCAACATGTATATCTGCCAGTGTCAACATGGCACATCAGGTGAGGGATGATGTATCAATAATTCAACTGTATTTGTTACATTAGGTTTTGTGTGTTTCATATTAAAGGTTTTTGCTTCTCAAACAGGTACCAACTGTGAAATCAACTTTGACGACTGTGCTAGCAACCCTTGTGACTACGGAATCTGCAAAGATGGCATAAACCGCTATGAATGTGTCTGCAAACCTGGCTTTACCGGTGAGACGGGGAGAGATCTCTTTAAACAAATTAGAGTAAATTTGGGGATTATTCAGGGATAAACCTCATTATAAACTTCTCTTCCTTTCAGGGCCTCAATGTAAAGACGAGATTGACGAGTGCCAGTCTAATCCCTGTCGCAATGGAGGAACCTGCGTAGATGATGAGAACGGCTTCCATTGCCAGTGCCCTGAAGGCTTCCATGACCCGTACTGTTATTCACAAGTGGACGAGTGTGCCAGCAGCCCATGTTTGCATGGGGCCTGCAGGGATGATCCTAATGGGTACAGCTCCATAACAAACTTTAAAACCAGCAGGAAGGTAATAAATGGAGACTTGCTTTGAGTGTGACTCTTGTTTGCATTGCTCCTGCAGCTATCGATGTGATTGTGAGCCTGGATGGGTGGGTAAGAACTGTGACCTAGACCGAAACGATTGTTTGCCCAGCCCCTGCCAGAATGCAGGCACCTGTTTCGACCAGCTCAATGGTTTCACTTGCAAGTGTCGGCAGGGATTTAGAGGTGAGATATGTTACGTTAGCACAGTATGCATTTTACAATAATAACAACAAAAAGAGATTTTATTACACATTGTTCCACCGAAAAGAACAGACCGTCTTCTCATATTTAATTCAACCTCTACCACTGAAAAGGGTGTAATGTTTCCCTAATAAAGCATTAAAACATCCCCTACTGCAAGTTCTTAAAAATGTCACTCTTCTTGCCAATAGCTACATTCTGACAGCTGTCTCCCATCCTCAGGTAACTTATGTCAAGTGAACATCAACGAGTGTGCCTCTAGCCCATGTCTAAATCGGGGTACCTGTGTGGACGGAGTCGCCAGTTTTACATGTGTCTGTGAGCCACCTTATAGCGGACCCACCTGCGCAGAACTGCTCACACCTTGCACTCCCAACCCCTGTGCCAACCATGGTTCCTGTGTGCACACACCTGACTACCTGGGCTACCAGTGTAACTGCCAACCCGGATGGCAGGGTAAGTCACTAAACACATTCTGATTCAAGTCTATAAGAATTGTGTTTGCTAAAGAATGTCTAACTTCAAGTGTCCTTCCCATCACAGGTCAGTTGTGTACCACTGACATAAATGAATGCACATCTAACCCCTGTAAGAACCGTGGGACCTGTACCAATACTTCGGGTGGCTATGTGTGCTCCTGCCGTGCTGGCTACACTGGACCCAACTGTGAAACAGATATTAACGACTGCTCACCAAGTGAGTCAAACTCAATATAAACCAGGTTTTTATTGCTGGTCTCACAAATGAAATGGTCCAACTTTTCTTCAGCACAGTTGGCGTGGTCTAATAATGTTTTTGGTTTTGTCAGACCCCTGTCTGAACGGAGGATCCTGTACAGATGGTGTAAACTCATTCCGCTGCAGCTGTCTGCCAGGCTTCACAGGGACACGCTGTGCTACCGAGGTAAATGAGTGTCAGAGTGCCCCCTGCAAGAACGGAGGCACTTGCACGGACTACGTCAACAGCTACACTTGTACTTGCAAACCAGGCTTCACAGGCCTACTCTGTGAGACCAACATACCAGACTGCACTGAAAGGTAAGTCTGTGAAGTCGCTCATACCTTTTAAAAGAATATGTAGCCAGTAGTAGCTCATAAACAAATAATCTCCTTGTTTTAGCTCCTGTTTTAATGGAGGCACCTGCACTGATGGGATCAATGGCTTCAAATGTACCTGCCGGTCAGGATTCACTGGAGATTACTGCCAGTACGAGGTGAACGAGTGTGACTCTCAGCCATGCCTTAACGGAGGAGTTTGTCAAGATGCCCTCGAGTCATATCGCTGCTCGTGTCCAAAAGGCTACACTGGTCCCCGTTGCCAGGTATTAATTCCAGATCATGCTATAACCTAAACATGCTTGCAATTTTTCTAAAATTACATTCAATAAAAAATTAATTGGAATAGAAGAATACATTTTTTAAAAATAAACATTTAAAATCAGTGATAGAATAGAATCATTAAAATTAATTATAAAATAAAATATATATTTTTATCTCTCTTTTAGTATCCAGTTGATTGGTGCAGGACTTCTAACCCATGCAAGAATGGTGGTCGCTGCAGACAGAAAGATGCCTCCTTCACATGTGACTGTTTGGGAGGCTGGTCAGGTCGTTATTGTGACATCCCAGGAGTGTCTTGTGTAGTTGCAGCCAGACAGAGAGGTATATAAAATTGCATATAACTTTATTTTACAAATACAGTTTAAACATGATCTTCTCCTTGATAACGGTCAACACTCTCTCACAAAGGACTCCAAACAGATGAGCTTTGCCACCATGGTGGACACTGTGTCAATACTGGCAACACGCACTACTGCAAATGTCCCGCAGATTACACAGGCAGTTACTGTGAGTCCCAGTTTGACCACTGTGAGGACAAACCTTGCCTCAATGGTGCCACCTGTAGGAGCTACATGGGAGGATTCACCTGCGATGTGAGTCATCTTACCACTGCTACAAATAGCATGTATTATCATTCGCATTAGTATAAAGCCTAATTACCTAAGGAATATGAAGAACTGAAGATATTTCAGAACTGATATTGAACTGAAATGCTTTTTCTCCAGTGCATGCCTGGTTATGAGGGGAACAACTGCGAGAGAGAGGTCAATGAGTGTCAGTCTCATCCGTGTCAGAATGGAGGAACCTGCATTGACCTGGTGGGACATTACATCTGCTCCTGCCCTCCAGGCACACTGGGTAAGATAGATTTCTAAAAATCACGGTAAAAAAAATACTTGACCTGGAGTAAAATGCAAAGAATTCAAGTTTTTTAACCTAAAGTGCAAAAATCTAAATATACAAAACGTTCAGAATTTTGGGGTCAGTAAAGTTATTTGTTTTATAAAAACAGAGTAAAAAACAGTAATGTTGTTACAACTTAAAATATGTATTTTATGTTTTAAAATAATTTTAAAATGTAAATTATTCCTGGGATGCAAAGCAGCCATTAGTCCAGTCTTCAGTGTCTCATGATCTTTCAGAAATCATTCTAATATGCTGATTTGATGTTCAATAAACATTTATTCTTATTATAAGTGTTGAAAACAGCTGTACTGCCTAATATTTTGGTGTGAAACTGTGATACAATTTTTTCCAGGATTCTTTGAATAGAAAGTAAAAATAAAAATCTTGTAAGACAGAAATCTTGTGTAACATTATAAAAACCTTTACTGACACCAAACATTTGATGTATAGTATATATTCAAATTTAGCCTTTTTTGTTCTGAAATAGATTTATAAAATTTAGGAATTTCCGTGTAGTTTCTAGTTATAAGGTGTACATTTAATTCACTAAAGTCAGTCTACAGCGGATACTGGGGATTTTTGTCTTCAGGACGAGGGTGTCAGAATAGATTCAGTGTGTGCGAGTCTCAGCCCTGTAAGAACGGAGGAGTATGCTCCTTGTCCGGCAGCTCACCACTGGGATACACTTGCACCTGTCAGCTTGTGAGTATCCAGGCCTTATATCATTATGATATCGTTGTTTACTGTACTGTTAAATTTCAAAAGCAACTACTTGACTCCTTCTTGTCTCTTTCTCAGGGGTATGCAGGTGCTAACTGTGAGAGGAGCATGAACTGCAAAGAGCTGCCTTGCTACAATGGTGGCAGCTGTACTCTCACCTCACGAGGTGCACGTTGCACCTGTATTCTGGGCTTTGGCGGGCCTCTGTGTCAACACCGCAGCAATGAGGGCTGCTCCTCCAAACCTTGCCGCAATGGAGGCTTGTGTACAGAAGAAACCAGCTTCCCTTTTTTCCACTGCCAGTGCATCAATGGCTGGAAAGGCATACGATGTGAACAGGAACCCAGGCTGCTGCCACTTCCTCCTCCTTGCCCTATTGCTGAATGTCATGGCAAGGCCAATGACGGTGTGTGTGATAAAGAGTGCAATTCGTTCGCCTGCCGCTGGGATGGAGGTGACTGCTCTCTGGCTGCGAACCCGTGGGCACGCTGCTCAGACCCTCGCTGCTGGCGGCTCTTCAACAATAGTCAGTGTGATGAGTTCTGCAACAATGCAGAGTGCCTTTATGATAACTTCGACTGCAAGAACAAAGAGAAAGTCTGCAAGTAGGTCTTGAACTAAGCTTTAATCGTGCTTCATTGGACTGTTTATGATGGTCTTTCTCTAATACACTCTCTCTTCCCTCAGCCCCATCTATGAGACATACTGTACAGACCATTACGCAGATGGGCTCTGCGATCAAGGCTGCAATACTGAAGAGTGTGGCTGGGATGGACTGGATTGTGCAGAGAAAATTCCAGAAGACCTTGCGGAAGACGTGCTGGTTATTGTAGTTCTGCTGCCTCCTGAGGAGCTGCTAAGGACACAAACTGCTTTCCTGCAAAAACTAAGTGCAATACTGCACACCACATTGCGTTTCCACCTTGATCAGAATGGGGAATACATGATCCGACCCTATAAAGGACGCATTAAACGGGAGCTTCAACCTCAGCAAGAGGTCATTGGGTAAGTTGGGGTTGCTGAAGTAATCGCCTTTGTACAGCAAAATAATGCGCATTTCGCCTCAGATTTGAGTTTCTTGAACTTGGAGCGTTGACCAATATAAAGCAGCTTAGTTTGGAAGTAACCTCTCAGTGAATGGTGCTTCATGCATCTCTACAATATTGACAATACCAAACCTTTGCCCACAAAATTCACCAAAATTTCACTAAAGTGAATGTGCCTTAAATAATCTTTGGTTCTTCTGCAGGTCTATTGTATACTTGGAAATAGACAACAGGCTCTGCTCCCAGGGTTCAGATGACTGTTTCCGCAATGCTAACATTGCTGCAGAATACCTAGGTGCTTTGTCTGCTAGGGAGATGTTGAATTTCCCATACCCCCTGAAAGAAGTGCGCAGTAAGTATCCACACTTACACAAACTTAATTGCTTTCTTACATAGGTCCAGCTGTATTTCATAATCATACTAATCATTTCCAATTCTCTTTCAGGTGAAAAAATGAAAGATCCTGATGAGATTCCCAAATGGGGTAAGCTACTGCTAGTAGGGGTAGCTTCTCTCTTCTTGTTGGTTATCTTGATGGTGGGCATGTTGATTGCCCGCCGCAAACGTGAACACAGCACACTCTGGTTCCCTGAGGGCTTCTTCCTCAAGAAGGAAACAAGCAGTAACAAGAACCGCAGAGAACCTGTGGGCCAAGATTCCCTGGGCATGAAGTGAGTCTTTCATGCATTATTAGTGCTTTTAATATAAATATTTTCAGTAAAGTTCATTGAAATATCCCTTTCAAAAGGACCAATTAGCATTCATGACTCTTTGCAGACACATGCCAAAGACAGTGGAAGAGTCTCTATTGGCAGATCACAGTGACCAGTGGATAGACACAGACTGCCCAGAGGCAAAACGACTTAAGGTGACTGACCATTTATCATTTCTCTAACGATGTATGTGTATGCATCAATGAAACAGTTCTATATCTTAATAATGTTGGCTTTATTTATATACAGGTGGAAGAGCCCAGTATTCTGTCCGATGGTGAGGATGCAGTTGACAGCAGACAGTGGACACAGCACCACTTGGCAGCGGCAGATATCCGTATGCCACCTTCCATGGCTCTCACGCCTCCACAGGGAGAATTTGACAGCGATTGCATGGACGTCAATGTCCGAGGCCCTGGTACGATATGTTTTGCTGTCTACTCTTACTCCTTGGTTAGGTCCAGTTGTCCCACCTGATCAGTGGCCTTGCATAGATAAAGTTCAGGTACAATAATAGCAAATGTATTCAAAACATTTACAAACTATTATTTCTTATAGATGGCTTCACACCCCTGATGCTGGCATCCTTCTGTGGAGGTGGGCTGGAGCCAGAGGTTACCGAAGATGATGATTCAGAAGAATGCTCCGCCAACATCATATCCGACCTCATTTACCAGGGAGCATCGCTTGCAGCTCAGACCGACCGCACTGGAGAGACCGCTCTGCACCTGGCTGCACGCTATGCCCGAGCTGACGCAGCTAAACGACTCCTGGATGCTGGGGCTGATGCAAACGCACAGGATAACACAGGCCGCACACCTCTGCATGCAGCTGTAGCAGCTGATGCCCAGGGGGTTTTCCAGGTAAAGTCACCTACAACCAAATATATTTGTTTATAAGTAGATATGGACAATTGAAACCATGTCAGTGCTGATGTATCCCATATTCTCGCTTCTGCAGATTCTGATCAGGAACCGTGCCACAGACCTGGATGCACGCATGTATGATGGCTCCACTGCTCTGATCCTTGCAGCCCGTCTGGCAGTAGAAGGCATGGTGGAAGAGTTGATCACCTGCCATGCTGATGTCAACGCTGTTGATGAAATCGGTAAATGCAACAGAAAAGAAAAAGGATAGATTTTCCTGCTGCTGATGTGAGGTTGCATTGTTTCTGATGGTTTCATTCTCTCTTCACAGGAAAGTCAGCTTTGCACTGGGCAGCGGCAGTCAATAATGTTGAAGCTACAGTTGCCTTGTTGAAGAATGGTGCCAATAAAGATATGCAGGACCTTAAGGTATACAATCATATTCTTTTGAGGGTTTTGAAGGATTTATCTACTTCAGCCATGTTGTTCATTTTTATATCTATCTGCTATCTTTAGGAGGAAACTCCACTATTCTTGGCTGCCAGGGAAGGTAGCTGTGAGGCTGTGAAGGTGTTGTTGGCTCACTTTGCCAACAGGGAGATAACGGATCACATGGACAGGCTCCCTCGAGATATCGCCCAGGAGCGCATGCACCATGACATTGTACAGCTACTGGATGAATATAACACTGTGAGAAGTCCACAGGGCCATCCAGGGGCAGGTCACCACCTGTCTGGTAGCCACACCCTCTCACCACTCATGTGCCCTCCTAGCAACTTCCTCCAAGGGCTAAAAATTACCCCGCATGGTAAGAAGAACCGTCGCCCAGGGGCTAAAGGCATAGGTGGGCAGCACGCTGCCAGCCTGAAAGATTCAGCCAAAGGACGCAACAAACGGCTGACGCTAGACATGCAGAGTGCTTTGCTGGAGAGCTCCGTCACGCTCTCCCCCGTCGACTCGCTGGATTCACCACGCGGAGGTGCCAGCAACGCCGGCTACATCACCAATCCGACCTCACCGGCCGCCATGCCCTCTCCAGGCCTTTTCCACTCCTCCATGTCTGTCCCTACCACTCCAATGGTGCACAGCAGTATCTTGGATGGCACCAGTCCTTTTGCAGTCTCCCTAGCTCAGCTGAGCAACCTGAGTGATGGTGGGCTCTCCATGCAGGGGCGTGTGGCCATGCAAGGAGGCGTCGTCAACCAAGGCCCTCACAACTGTGTGCTGAATGGCGGCCAGATGAGCCTCAACATGGGCATGGTAAGTCCAGTAAGCGTGCCATTTGACTGGCACAACCGCATGCCTCCATCTTCTCAGTGCAGTCAGCCCATGGTCAGCATTATGCATCCAGCGAGTAGCCAAGCAGGAATGATCCCTCAGACACCAACGCTGCAGCAAAGCAGCATGCTCATGCACCAGCAGCAGATGTTCCGTAATGCCCAGCAGCCCATCCTGCAGCCGACACCCATCTCTAACACACCCTCTATTAGCCCGGTCAAACTGCCGCCCATTGCAGAGCAGCAGCCGCAACAACTTCACAGCCACGCCCTTACCAATCCCAACCTCACCCGCATGGGCTCCTCCACTCCCCCGACCCCACAACAGGCACAGCCTCCTCCAGCTTTCTACCAGCCACAGCAGCCACAGACTCAGCCACCGCAGGCCTCGGCAGCCCCTCAGGCTTCGCAAGCACAGGCTATCCCGTCTCAGGCACCCCCGGCACAGGCGAGCGTTAGCACCGCAGGCCCGGAGGATTACCCCACACCGCCCTCCCAGCACAGCTGCAGCTCTGCCATGGATGCAACACCCAAGCATTACCTACATGTGCCCAGTGAACATCCTTACCTGACCCCTTCTCCAGAGTCTCCAGAGCCCTGGTCCAGTCCCTCCCCTCACTGTGTGTCCGATTGGTCTGACTCCACCCCCAGCCCAGCCGTCACGGCTCCTGCTCAAACCCAGATTTCGCATGTCCAGGAGTCCAATGGGAAGATGCAGGTGTTTGCTTGAGCAGCTCAACCTACCTTAAATGTTTGTGACTTTGAGAGAGTAGAGTTGACAAGCGTTTTTTACTTACCTGTCAGCCCATTTCCAAGATTTTAATTGGATTAGGATTGACTGTTTTGCGTCAAGAAGACCGTCTGCTGGTGTCCGCAGAAAGAAAGTTAAAGGGAAATTTGTGTTGTCTTAAAAATAAAAGACAATTTAATGAAGTAAGACGTTCTGTCACAGATGGACTTGTTTTTTAATTATAAAAAAGTATATGAAGTATACCACGTCTTTCATTTCAAAGACTTGGGGACACTCCTGAAACTAACAAACTTTAAAAAAAAAAAAATAATAGATTGAGAGAAAAGTGAAATGTTGAAGGAAATTCCTTTCTTTTTATTTATTGTCTTATGTTTTTTCCAAACTGCCTTGGGGGTGTTTTCACCCTCTTTCTGTCTCTGTTGTTTTTAGTGACCCCCATAACAACTGCCTTACTACTCCCAATATATTACGTGGGACTCGTGAGGTCTCCTCAGGTTCCATGTTACTACTGTTACAAGAGGAGCAACTCATGATTGCTTAGTTTGCCTGTTCCGCCCATTTCATCAGCAATTGATACAGTCAGAACTTATACACGAGGCTTTTAAGTGACATGCACACACACATAATGAGATTAGAATTTTTACAAATTTTAGTGATATTTATTTAGTCTAGCTTTCAGAAACAGATCGGCACATGAAAACAGAGGTATATAGAGACCAATACAAGTGAAATATTCTGATTTAAAATGATTTTATATGTTTTGTAAAAGTATTTGTATGAATGTAGAGGGGCATCTGTGAAGCACTTCAAGGGGAAAAGCTTGAGAGAGAGAGAGAAAGGTACAAAAGGTAAGAAAAAACCCTGAAATCATAGTTCAGCATTTATAACAACAGTGCATAAAAGCGCCTCTCTAAAACAGGCCAGTGTTTAGAATGTTTTCAGTGTTGGCGTTGTATCAGTGGAAATGATTTTACTGAACATAGTTTCTTAAGTGACCTCACCGACTTACATAGGCCTGAGCTGGCCAACGCTCTACCCGTTCCCTCTCAAAATCCCAGCCAGTCACTGCCTTATAGTCTTGCCTTGTGTAAATTTGTTTTCTGTTTGTCGTTTTATAACCACATTTTTGGAACCACAGTTACCTGTGGAACATTGATGTATTAAGCTGTGTTATTAGGCTGCTGCTCTGCGTCACTTCTTCAGTGACAGCCAACTTTTTTTCCACTAACATTCCTGATCAGAACCCACCAACCAGCGCTCGTGGAGACACTGACCGCTGCAGAACTGATCTCACCGTGTTCCTGAGCCCTCACAAGCACTTCATTTCAATACTGAACAGCTGCAGCTGACACTTGACCACTAGAAAGTCTTCCTCTGGGGCTTTATGAAGCCAAGGCAGTGTGGTTGATTTAGTTTAATGTAATTTGATCCCTCAGGTCCAGCATTTCCATGTGGTCTAATCATATTCCAGCTCCTTTTGGTTTGGATAGCAAGCATATGTGTTGTGTGTTGGGTACATGGCTAACGGGGTTCTAATGGTCTGCTATTGCTCTGTCACTCCTCAGGGAGGTGTTATATAGCATGCAGTGTTGTCTGCATCTTTAGCAGTTCCCACCCCATCAGCCTAGACGATGACATCTGTCGTGTCTGGTCAGAAGGCGTGAGATGGGAAACACTACCATGTAGTGATGCCCCTGGCTTTCTGTAACATGTCCATATGTTCATCCCTTTTCAATTTTCCCAACTGTAAGACCTGCATTTGATGACACTGACAGCTGTTTTCGTGCTATCGCCAAGAGGAACACACCCATTTCACTGAATTATGGCACATAAACATTGCTTTCAGCCATACATTATTATTTTAAATAGTATTTGTGCTTAATCTATACTGAGTGTGCAGCTATGAAACTGTTAAATCTTCATGTACAACATTTCAAGGCTTGTGGTGGTTTTGGAGCACATTCTGGACCTCTTTGTTTTCCTACATAAGTACTACTAAGCTTCGCTAACCCAGCATAAGTCTTCCTTTCATTCGTAACTTTTCACTTCTCATGATACAGTTCTCCAGATATTTTTGAAATTCCAGTACCTTTCTGTAAATATGTTTCACCTTGTTTAGGTCTACTTGGTTATGAGAAGTCTTATGTTTCTAAAAATGAATATGTACTAAAAAGAACAAAAAGTAAATGTACTTTTTATTAGCATTATTAAGGTGAGGATGTGACTGTGTATTGGTCTTGCATAACTAGAACAGCCATAGATATTTTCTATTGTCATTATTAATTTCCTATACTTGTTTAAAAGTAGTTTAAAATCATTGTATATAAACAGTTTTTCACAGTTTCTTTCTACAGACAAAGTTGTAAAATATGTTACTTCTAATAAAGCGGTAGAAACTACATTTCACTAATGTCTTATTCTTTTTGTCTCACCTCTTTTATATTTCCATGCATTCTGAATCCATCCAGTATTTTGTTTTAGATCAGATAAACTGTGAAACTCCAGCACTTAGCCTACTAAACACTTTTTGTCAAATATCAACCCAAAGCATCTAAAGATGCTCATAATGAAAATAAACTCACTGGATATTCAAATGTTAATGATTAACGTCTCTAGGTTACGTATGTAACCATTGTTCCCCGAGGGAACGAGACGCTGCGTCGAGATTCGCTTTGGGAACGCCCTTGCGTGCCCGCGTACTGAAGCAC